TTTCTTCCTGCTTTGGGCAAAAGCTGGGATAGAGGGGGCCTGACACAAGATCCTGGGAGGAAAAGGCCCCTAGCCCCCAGGCTGCAGATTAATGACCGGAAGAGGCCTCGGGAAGGAGTCATGATTAGAGGGCAGCCTGGCGGCGAGTTTGCTCTTCCCCCAACAAAGCCCACTTCTGGCCCCATGCCTGCCCTTCTGCTTTCTTTCCAGTCTTGCCCGTCCCTAGGGCTTCAGGGGCGACGCTCAGCCTCCTGGTTTGCAGGCCTAGCTGAGGACTGGAGGAGAGAAGGCCACAATAGTCCTCATCAGTCTATAAATAGCAGCCCAGCCTACCCTCCTTGGGCGCAGGCCAGCACGGTGCCCACCCTCTCTCTGTTCCCTCTTTTCCAGGCACTAAGAGGAGGAAGTTATCCAGGCAGCTGCATCCTAACCATACAAGAGAAGGAAATGAACAGAAGGTGGAAGAGAGAATGGGGAAAGAAGGGAGAGAAAGAGAAAGAAAACAGAGGAGAAATGGTGGAGGGAATGCATAGGATCTGCAATAGGCAGTGGCAGCCCCCTTTCCCAGCTTCTTTATGTGCCCAGAAGAGGCTTTCTGAGACACCTCACCCAGGAGACCTATTGGCAGCCTCTTGCTTTGTCTGACTGCTGACCTAGTTTGTGGTCAACTCGCTCACTGCGACCTCAGGGAGGGGCAGTTGGACTCTGATTGCTCATTTGCCTTTGGTCAAGAGTCACTGCTCTCTGGTCAAGAGAACTAAAGTGCTTCACCACAGTCGCCAGGACTTGAGGCCAACTGTGTGAAGATTGGGGGTGGTGATTGATAGTGCCTCTGCCCTGGTGGGGAACAGGTTGTCACCAGATACCCTCCCTTACATAGAAAAGAGGATGTGAAAGTTTCTGCTTGCTGTGGGATTGGGGCTCTGGTTCCTCAAGCCCTTATCTCTGGTGTCTGCAGTCTATCCCTCTCTATCTGTCTAGCCATCTGTGAACCCCAGTTCCTGTGTGTATCTCTGGTCCTCACTGTTGATCATGATTCAGGCTCAGCCTGTGCTTCTTTTGTCTAAAACTTCCCCCCTCTGCTACCTGCCTGGCTGTGGGTTCTGACTGTTATCTTAGCATGTGCATGCCAATTCCGTTAAGGAAGTTCCTTAAGGCTGGAGCCATACATAGCATAGCAGGTAGGGTGTTTGCCTTGCACGCGACTGACCTGGGTTTGATTTCCAGCATCCCATATGGTCCCCCGAGCACCCCCTGAGCACCTCCAAGAGTAATTCCTGAGTGCATGAGCCAGGAGAAGTCCCTGTGTATCGCCGGGTGTGACCCAAAAAGCAAAAGAAAAAAAAAGAAAGTTCTGTGCTTACAGTCTCATTAAGGCAAACAATGGCTACGGCCTCTGAATACATAAGGCTGGAGATAGTACAGTGGGTAATACACTGCCCTTGTACACATAGCCTACCCGGGTTCCATCTCTGGCACCACCCAGAGTGAGCCCTGAACACAGCTGTGTGTGGCTCCTCCAACAAACAACAAACTTCTACAAGTCTGAACACAAGTACACACCAACAATAGACAGTTTGTCACTTGAGCACTTTAGGTAAAAAGCTGAGACAAAGAGAAAATGGCACCCTTCCTCTCCTCTCGCCCCCCCCCCCATCCTCTTCTCTCCTCTCTCTTTGCCCCGTTACTTTTTCCTCTTTCTTTCCCTGTTTCATCTTTCCTTTCCTTTTTCCCTTCCCTTTCCCCTTTCCTTTTCTTTTTTCTTTTCCCTCTTTCCTTCTCATTTCTCTTCCTTCCCCCTTTACTTTCTTTCCTTTTTCCCTTTCCTCTCCTCCCCTCTCCCCTCCCCTTCACTCCCTTCCCTTCTCTTCCCTTCCCTTCCCTTCCCTTCCCTTCCCTTCCCTTCCCTTCCCTTCCCTTCCCTTCCCTTCCCTTCCCTTCCCATCTCTTCCCTTCCCTTTCCCCAATCATTTGTGTTCCAAATCTGTGACCACGTTTTTTGAGTGCCTCTACTGTGGCTTCCCCAAAAAGATACTACCAGGGCTTGCTGACTTCTCTGAGACTCTTCCTGCTTTCCTTGAGACACAGATTCATTAGTTAGGAAGCCCTGATACATGTACATTTATCACTACAATGGGAGCTTGGTGCTCCCAGCTCACTTGGAACAAGATTGGAGGAAGGTGGGAAAATGCTAGAGGCGGGCTATGTCTTGTGAGGGTGAATCTATTGTAGTTACTCCTGGCTCTGTGCTCAGGGATCACTCCTGGCAACGCTCATGGCATCAAACTGAAGTCAGCCATGTGGAGTGCAAGCATTTTTTCTCTGTGCTATCTCTCCTATACCCTAAAAGTCTACTTTATTTAGTTAGTTATTTTGGTTTGGGGGCCACACCGAGCAGTGTTCAAGGCTTAATCCTGGCTCTGTGCTCAGGGATCACTTCTGGCAGGCATGAGCGACCATATAGAGTACCAGATATTGAATCCAGGTAGGCCACGTGGAAGACAAGAGTTCTCCCTGCTCTACTATCACTCTAGCCCCCTTTTAAGTTTTTTTCTCGCTTTCAACTGTGCCCTAGGCTTACTCCTGACATGGTACAGGAACCATATTCATTGTCTGGAGGTTCGATCACCTAGAAGGCTTTATCCTTGTACTATGTCTCTCATCCCCCAAAAGTTTATTTTTTTCCGGATTTGAGGGCCACACCCAGAAGTTCTCAGGGCTCACTCCTGTCTATGTACTCAGGGATCCCTCTTGGTAGGTCTCAGAAAACCACATACAGTGCTACGGTTCAAACCTGGGTTGATCATGTGCCAGGCAAGCACCTTAACCCCTATGCTAGCTCTCCAGCTCCTGAAGTGAATGTCCAATAGGAGATATGTGTTGGTTTCTGCTTATTTAGCCTTTTACTTCTGGGTTCTAGGATCAGACTTCAGAGTTCAAGTTTCCAGGAACTAACTTCAGGTAGAAATATGGGCATAGACAGAGTCAGGAATAGGCTCCCTTCCCTCACCTCCCTGTGCTTCCGGGTCCCTGGCAGTCAAGCCCACAAAATATCTCTGGGGGGTCATATAAGCTCATTAATGGCCATAATCCAGAGACTCACAAATAAATCTCGGAAGAGAGCAACACGCTGCAGAGATGTCTCCAGACTCCAAAATCACAATCCTGTCAGCCAGTTAAAAGTTTAACTCTAGCTCTAGCACCCTATTTAAAATTTTAGAGTTCCTGGAGTGACATCTCATTCTCTAAGCCACTATGCACCAAGAATAGCACACCACATTTGATGGGGTGTAAAGTAGAAGGCAATGGATCTTGATATATATATATATATATATATATATATGCACATAAAGCTCAACCTGTAACAATATGTTAGCGATCTCTTATACAGGGATTTGATGGCTCCAAGATGTCACTGTCACTGTCACTGTCCTCCTGTTGTTCATCGATTTGCTCGAGGGGGCCCAGTAACGTCTCCATTGGAGACTTTGTTGATATTGTGTTTGGCATATTGAATACGTCACGGGGAGCTTGCCAGGCTCTGCCGTGTGGGCGAGATATTCTTGGTAGCTTGCCGGGCTCTCCAAGAGGGGCAGAGGAATCGAACTCGGGTCGGCCATGTTGGCTGCGTGCAAGACAAATGCCCTACCGTTGTTCTATCGCTCCAAGGTGAAATACAACAGTTTTAACACACTTTCCTCACGTTCCTCTAAGGAAACATTTTTGAATCATTTTTAATGGCTTAGTCAAAACAAGCAATACAAAATAAATTATTTACCATCTGCCTTTGGAGCAGGCTTGGGTGGTGGTGGTTGTAAAGTTCAAAATGATGGTGGTGGGAAGGTGTAATGGTGGTGGGAATGTGCAATAGTGGTGGGATTGGTGTTGAAATATTGAATGTAATAAATTATTGTGAACAACTTTATAAAAGTAAAGTAAAGTAAAGGCCCTCCCGTTGATCATCGATTTGCTCGAGCGGGCCCAGTAACGTCTCCATTGGAGACTTTGTTGTTACTGTGTCTGGCATATCGAATACTCTCGGTAGCTTGCCGGGCTCTCCGAGAGGGGCGGAGGAATCGAACTCGGGTCGGCCATGTTGGCTGTGTTCAAGGCAAATGCCCTACCTGCTGTGCAATAAAACTTAAAAAGAAGAAAGAAAGAAACATGAGCCTAGGCTGAGATATGACTGATGTCCAGGCTCCTATAGTGAGGAACTGGCTCTGACCCTTCTCAGCTAAGGGACAGGATAAAGACAGGGAGCCCTGAGGGCACTCTAGGGGAGAGAATATTGTCCCCCTACCCTTCAAGATGCTTTTGCCTGCATAGTAATTGAATTGACATAGAATAGATTAATCGGAGAGAAAAAAAAGTTTCCATTTCTTATATCCAGGGAAACACACAAAGATATGAGGTTCTTGACAGTTGAGCAAATGAGTTTTCTATGCCATCCTGAGCTCAGGAGAATGGTGCAGGGCCAGTAAGGGACCAGAATTCAAAGTGGAAGAAGGCAATTCTTGGGGAGATGGGTGGGAAAAGCGAATGTTTGGTAAACAAATGTTTGCTGGTGCCATGCAAAGAGACAAAGGGACACATTTGTAGATTAAGAACAAACAGGCCTCACTAATCCCTCCCCCTGGCCTACCACTTTTAGCTTAGATTCTTTGTAGGTATCTCTGATTAGAGTTCCCTACCTGACACAGGTCCCTGATCTAAAGATCTAAATTCTTTTCCTGAAGTTAAGGGAGAGAAAAGAAATGCAAGTCTAGGGTTTCTTTATTAGAATCAGCGTTTCCCTCCCAACACCTCTGTATTCCTACCAAAGAAATGGAATCTGATCCCTGAGAACATCTGGGTGCGTCACCTCATTAGCCTTGAGTCCTCAGGGTACATATGGCTCAGCTCCAGCCTGGGGTCTGCGGGGAGGGTGGGAGTGAGCCGCTCCCGACTTAGCCAGCCATTTTAGCACCACTGATTGCTTCTTCCACCTCTGCTTCTTCCAGCTCTCACTTCAGCGCTCCAGCAGCTTCAAGGATTTTGCCAAATCCAAGCCCAGCTCCCCTGTGGTGAGCGAGAAAGAATTTAATCTGGATGATAATGTGAGTTTCAGAACCTCCTGGGGAGATCTGGCAGCAGGCCCTGGGTGGAGAAGTGCGGGTGGATGGGGGGGGGGGGCAGGGTTGCGGAAAGGAAAGGAGGTTTGAGGACGACTGAAGCAAAACCAGCTTCAAGACAGAAAGCCCACCGGCCCAGCCACCAACATTTTGGGCTCTGAGAATTCACACGCATCTTGTTCAGGGTTTGGGAGACAATACAGGGGTTAAGGTTTCTTGTCTTGCATGCAGCTGGCTGGCTCCAGTTGGATTCCTAGCACTTCACATGGTCCCCTGAGCACAGCCAGGAGTGACCCCAGGAGTTCAGAGCCAGGGGTAGCCCCTGAGCACTGCCAGGTGTGGCCCAAACCCCTCCTCAAATCAATTCTAAATTAAGTGGATAATTAATCACAAATCAAAAGGCCTAAGGGTAGACCTGAAGCTAAGGAAAAGTGGTTGGGGCCTGTCATTCCTACCTCTGTAGCCTCTATCCCCCAAATCCTGACCATCACCAGGGTCATCATACCTCTTCTTTCATCCTGTCAGATTCCAGAAGATGATTCCGGTGCCTCCACCCCAGAGGACCCTGGGAAGAGTGGCAAAAAGCTGGGGAAGAAGTGGCGGGCCGTGATTTCCCGAACTATGAACAGGAAGATGGGCAAGATGATGGTGAAGGCCCTGTCAGAGGAGATGGTGAGGCCTGGGATCCAGGAGATGGGTAAAGGGCAGGGAGCACAGGCACCATTCTGGTAGGGTTTGAACATGACTGCTTTCTCAGCCTCTGTTTGGGTTCAATGTCTGAAGGCTGACTTATAAGAAGGAAGATTACAGAGATAAGGCACTCCCTTCCCAAAACAAACTTAGTATGAAGGGAACGGGGCGGGGGGGGGGGGCAGTACAGGTAACAGAAGTGGTCTGAGGAGAGAAGACATCTGACAGGACCACCTGAGGCAAAGAGGACCTAGGGGCGCAATGCCTCAAGCCGGGAAGGAGGGTGAGACATCCATAAGGAGGTTCACTCTGGTGACCGGAATAACACAGTGACTTGGGGGTGGGAGGCACACCTAGTGGTGCAGGGGTCTACTTACAATTCTGTGATTGGAAGACCCTGGGGTGTCGGGGATGAAACCTGGGCCTCCCTCCAACTCAGCTCAGTGAACCATCTCTCAGGCCCATGCCTATGGCTCTTCTAGGAGATGCCAAGGCTGTGGTGTCCTAGCTCTTACAAATTCAGGAAAGCAGTCTGTCAGGAATTTTAGCAATTCTGTGCTCTTGGAGTGAAACCCAACCGTGTCTGAAATTTTAATTCTCAGTTTGAACTGAATAAACTCTAAAATGAAGCAACTACAGTCCATCTTCAAAACACGTCACTTCCTAACTCTTGTTCCATCTGGCACTGTGCTCTGTGCCCTCAAGGTCATGCACATCCACAGCATCTGCGTGTGACTTGGCGACCTCCCAGTGACTGCATAGGACTGTGAGGAAATGTCCCCAGACCACTCTGTCCTTGGGCTGGTGGAGCAATCCCACATCCAATTCAGATTATCAGGAGAAAAACAAATCTAACTGCACACACATAAAGCAACTCCAGAGATATAAATTTGAAAGGAGGGGCTTTGATGCTGTTTGGGGGGACTGCTCGCTTTGGGGGTCACACCTGGTGGTGTTGGAAGGCTACTCCCAGCTCTGTGCTCAGGTACCTCTCCTGGGGTACTCAGGGAACCTCAGCCTCCTGCCTAAAAAGCATGTGCTGCAGCCCTTTGAGCCATTCTCCAGCCTCAGCTTTTTATCCTAAGCTAAGGACTGGGATGGGGGATCTGGGAGTTCAAGGAGAGAGGAAGGGGACTCCCATGAGAAAGGGCCAGGTGCTCGAAATGAGATGTTTACCGTGCCATATGGATGGTTTCTCAGACAGAAAGGTTGTTCCTGACATGGTGATATAGTACAGGGGTAGGGGTTGGCCTTGCACATGTGTTCAATCCTCAGTACCCCATATGATCCCAAGTCCCATCAGGAGTGACCCTTGAGCACAGAACTAGGAATAAGCCCTGAGCCCTGCTGTGTATGACCCCAAAATAAAACAAAATGAAAAGAGAGAAACTTTATTTCTGCTGGTAGCCCTAAATCTGGGCAATATCTCCAATTTTCGTTCTCCTAGGAAGTTAAGGGAAATGTAAAAGTTTCTTTGGAGTCACAGGACCTTGATCTCAGCTAAAAATAATGCACATTTTGCTGGAGGACAGTTCAGTGGGTAGGGCACTTGCTTTACATGCGACCAATCTGAATGCAATCCCTTGCACAGCACAGGGACCCCCACGAACCAGCAGCAGTGAACTCTGAGCACAGAGTCAGTAGTCAGCCCTGAATACCATCAAGTGTGTGGGGGAAAGACCAAAAAATAAAAAAAATAAAACACACACATTTTGGTTACAGTGAAGGTCTTGGGAGCCTATAGTAGACTTCTACAGGAAAGACTATTCTTCAGTAGCTTGTAGTTGAGCATGACAGGGAGTATTGACTGCCCAAAAATGGACAAGTGCTAAAAATCTAGGCTTTTCCCCCAGCTGGCCAATTGTGAAATAGTTATTATCATGCTGAGGTGTGGGAGCTTTGGTATCAGGCTGGCTTGGGAACATTCCTCCATTGACTTATTATCTGTAAACTTGGGACAAATCTCACTGTGAAGATTAAGAGCACTGACAGACATGACTAGCACACAGGAGCAGTCAAAAGCAGTTCCTTGGGGCTGGAGCAATAGCACAGCGGGTAGGGCATTTGCCTTGCACGCGGCCAACCCGGGTTTGATTCCCAGCATCCCATATGGTCCCCTGAGCACCGCCAGAGGTAATTCCTGAGTGCAGAGCCAGGAGTAACCCCTGTGCATTGCCAGGTGTGACCCAAAAAGCCAAAAAAAAGCAGTTCCTTTCCAGGAGCTAAAGGTAAAACAAAGGTTAAGGAACTTTCCTTGCACATGGTTACAGCAGCAAATCTGTTTTTTTTTTTCCTTTGGGGTCACACCCAGCGATGCTCAGGGGTTACTCCTGGCTCTGCACTCAAGAATCACTCCTGGTGGTACTTGGGGGACCATATGGTTTGCCGGGGATAGAACCTGGGTCGGCTGCATACCAGGCAAACACCCTCCCTGCTGTACTATCACTCTGGCCCCCAAATCTGTTTTGAATTCCTGAAACTCATACAGTTGCCTGAGCACAGGGCAAAGCTTGGCTCCTGAATATTTCTAGGTGTGTTTCCCCGCACATCCACCCCCACCAAAAAAAAAGTTTCTTTCCGGAACTGCTGTCTGCTTGACAATGCAGTCTGGTCCCTTTTTTCTGTGATTGAAAAGCACATTACCTATATGCCCATTGAGCTTCACTCCCATGGGATAGGTAGGGCCAGACCATTTCTTTTGTTTTGTTTTGTTTTGTTTTGGGGTCATACCTGGCGATGCTCAGGGGTTACTCTTGGCTCAGCACTCAGAAATTACTCCTGGCGGTGCTAGGGGGACCGTATGGGATGCCAGGGATCAAACGCGAGTTGGTCGTGTGTGAGACAAATGCCCTACCCGCTGTACTCCGGTGCACAGAACCATCTCTTGCATTTGTTTACAGAAGCCAGGACTCAGAGCATGCCAGGCACCCTGTTAGTGGCAGAACTGGGCTTAAGTTGGGCCCCAGTTTTCCACCAGGCCCACGTCTATTTCCTCCCAAGCAGCTGGGTCTGGCCAGCCTAGGCTAGTCATGACTTCCTGCCTCCTCTCGACTGCAGGGAGACACTCTGGAGGAGGGCTCAGGCTCCCCAACATCTCCAGACTTCAGCCTGGACAGCCCCGGCCCTGAGAAGATGGCACTGGCCTTTTCAGAGCAGGAAGAGCGTGAGCATCCAACTCTCAGCCGCCAGACCTCCATCAGTGAGTAGAGCATGGGGGAGGTGGGGGTGATGGAGGGATCACCACCAAGTCCAGTAAAGAGGTCGAGATTAGGGACTTGCTGGTAACTATGGCATTGGGGAGAAGGGGATAAGAGAAATCAACCTTTGGTTTGCATTTTCCCTATAATGAGTGACAAAGATACCTTGGCATATGCCTGGTGGCCATCCATACGTCTTCTCTGGGGAAATGTCTGTTCCTCTCCGGAGGAAAGCAATAGATACAGAATGGACTTCTCCTATGTGGGAATTAATGATACACTAAGAAGCAACAAGGGACCAAAGGCAACATAATGGGAGAACTGATCCACACACCTGAGTTGGGGGGAGGAATTGAGAGGGTGGGATGTTGGGGTCTTTGGGGGAGGAAAGTGGGTGCACTGGTGATGGCTGTGGTGTTGGAATTATGTGCATGAGAAACCATCATTAACAGTATTGTAAACCACAGAATCTCAATCCAAAAAAGTTTAAAAAGAAAGAAATCAGGGGGCTGGAGCAATAGCACAGCGGGTAGGGCGTTTGCCTTGCACGCGGCTGACCCAGGTTCGATTCCCAGCATCCCATAGGGTCCCCCGAGCACCACCAGGAGTGATTCCTGAGTGCAAAGCCAGGAGTAACCCCTGAGCATCACCGGGTGTGACCCAAAAAGCAAAAAAATAAAATAAAAAATAAAAAGAAAGAAATCAAACTGTATGGGTAGCCTGCTAGGAACTTCCCCAGCCTTCTCTATGTTAAATCTTTCCAACAATCACCTAGGGGCAGTGAGATTATTCACTGTCACTGTCACTGTCCTCCCGTTGTTCATCGATTTGCTCAAGCGGGCCCAGTAGCGTCTCCATTTTGAGACTTGTTGTTACTGTGTTTGGCATATTGAACACTCTCGGTAGTTTGCCAGGCTCTCCGAAAGGGGGTGGAAGAATCAAACACGGCTCGGCCGGGCTGGCTGCATGCAAGGCAAATGCCCTACCGCTGTGCTATCACTCCAGCTCAGAGATTATTCACAGGGATGATTTTGTTCCTTGCTCAAAGTGGCCCAGCCTTGAATTTACTTCTGCCTTAGAGGCGCACCCACTTCTTGTTCAAATCCCTGGGGGAGCCCAAGTACAGAGGAGGAGCCCCCAATTGCCATCTTGGGCCAATCCATCCCTGTACTTCCCAGGGGAGCTGGAACCTACAGCTCCTCAGGTCTCGGACACGTCAGGCTGAGGTAGGGGTATAAATGGGCTCTCCAAATCCCCCTTGCTTTGCTAGCTAAGGGTGCCCCTTGGAATCTTCTAGTTGTTCATGAGGCTGAAAGAAGGTTCCCAAAGCCCTGCCTGGGGAGCAGTTGTAAGCTCTGAGTAGCAGACCCACTGGGTACCATCTTTCTCACCCCTCAGATTAGTTTCAAGTAGCCCTCTCTCAGACTCCACAGATGTCTTCCGAACTCCCTGGAAAGCCACTGAAATGGCTCCTCCTTGGGGCCAGAGAGATAATACAGTGAATGAGGCATTTTTCTTGCATGCAGCAGACCTGGGGTTGATCCCTGGCACCCCATATGGTTCCTCAAGCACCGCCAGGAGTGATCCCTGAGTGCAGAGCCAGGACTGAGCCCTGAACATGGCCAGGTGTGGCCCCCAAAACAAACAAAAGCAATGGCTCCTCATCTGCCCTCCCCAGAAGAAAAAAGCCTGTCTGAGTTTCCATGGGATACAGTGTCTAGACAGAGTCTTATGATGTATAGAAAGTCAAATAGTAACACAGGTGTAACTTCCTGGGAGGAAGGTAGCTTCCAAGAGCCCTGAAAGAGGACTCAGAGACCTGGACTCTAACAGGCCCAGGGCCGCCAAATAGAAGGTGAGAGGCCTTGGGCAGGTCCCTTGCCCTTACTGGCGTCCATTTCCCTCATGTGTTCATGGGACTGTGAGCCTAGCTAGTCTCTTGAGGCCCACCCAGTTTGCTCCCCCTTGGGTCTGTGAGACATTTCTCCATCTGTGGTGAACTGTTTCCGGCATCAGGCTGCAGAGGTGAAGCAGTGCTCCGGGGGGGGGGGGGGGGGGGGTGGTGGTGGTGGATCTGAATCCCTTTTGCTGTGTGAGCTCCCATTTCTTGCACACACCCTTAGGATTTCTAGCCAGACACCCTCCACCCACAAAGGTGCCTGCTGGGCACTGTCCCGGCTGTCCTGGACCTGTGGTGAACCTGTTCCCTGCCCCCGTGTCCCACAGGCAGTGAGGTCTCCAGCCCTGGCCCAGGCGCAGGCAACTTTGGAGAGGAGCCACCAGCTCCCCAGTACACAGGACCCTTCTGTGGCCGGGCCCGAGTCCACACCGACTTCACCCCCAGTCCCTATGACCATGACTCCCTGAAACTGCGGGTAAGCCTGGCAACCGGGTCCCTCCTGAGCCTGGGGGTGCGGGTGGAGGGCTCCCTTCAAGGAGGCGGGTCAGGCCTAAGGGCCTCCCTCCTCGCCCCTGCTCTGCTCTCTTGCTGTCCCACAGAAAGGCGATGTGATCCAGATTGTTGAAAAGCCACCAGTGGGGACATGGCTGGGCCTCCTCAATGGCAAGCTGGGCTCTTTCAAGTTCATCTACGTGGATGTGCTGCCCGAGGAGGCTGCGGGACCTGCCCGGCCCAGTCGCCGCCAGAGCAAGGGCAAGAGGCCCAAGCCCAAGACGCTGCACGAGCTGCTGGAACGCATCGGCCTGGAGGTTGGAGTGTGGACCGGGACTGGGTCGAGGACAAAGGGAGGCCACACCTGTCCCAGGGATGGGGGGACCAGGGCAGGCAGCTCAGCGGCAGAGGAGGGTTGGAGTTGCTGGGTGCGGATGGTTTCTAAGGGGCTGCGCTGGGGGCCTGCCCACAGGAACACACGTCCACCCTGCTGCTCAATGGCTACCAGACCCTGGAGGACTTCAAAGAGCTGCGGGAAACACACCTTAATGAGCTGAACATCACAGACCCACAGCACCGGGCCAAGCTGCTCACGGCTGCAGAACTCCTGCTGGACTATGACAGTGAGTGGGTTCAGGCGACCCAGACCCAAGGGGTTCCAAACAGGGGCCAGCCCCAGGCGCACCTGCCCCTGACCACACTGAGATGGCGCCCCGCCACCTCCTGCAGTGGGAAGGCACTTTTCTGATTGGAATGATTGGAATTCCAGCATCAGGCCTAGTCTGTGGGGCGGAGGGATTTTCGGCATAGTCAAACCCTACTTTCAAACCGAAGGGGAGACTTAAAGGCCAGTGAAGGTAGGGCCGGTGATTGAGTCGAGGGCTCACGGCTGCAAATACCAAAGCCGGGAGTCAAAACCAGGCTTCCTGGCTCCTCGGTTTAGGGCCTGGAAATCAATTCCCCGCTTTCTAAGCAGGCCTGCGAGGGCTGGCGGTGGCCCAGAGGGAAAGGCAGTTTGCAGAGGACCTCCTGCAGAGGGCTCCTCCCCCTCGCTCTCCCCCCCTTGGGGCTTGCATTCCACATCAGTTACACGCTCAAGTCCCAAATATTCTCTTTTTTCTCCCTCACCCCCGGCAGCTGGCAGTGAGGAGGCAGAGGAGGGTGCCGAGAGCAGCCAGGAGCCCACGGCACACACAATGTCCGTGTCGGGACCCAAGGTGGACATTCCTCGCGACTCGGGCTGCTTCGAGGGCTCGGAGAGCGGGCGCGATGAGGGGGAGCTGGCAGGCGCCGAGGAGCAGTTGCAGGGCCTCTCCCTGGCCGGGGTCCCCTGAGGCGGAGGTGGCAACCGACCCTGGGCCTCGGCTGGACCTGTAAAGCAAAGGCTGGGAGGATGGGCCCAGAGGACTGGCACTGTGCCTGGCTCTGTTTCACCACACGCGCCTGAAGCTGCAGAGGCCAGCCCAGGGCTCCAGGCTGGAGTGGCATGGATGAGGGGCCATCTCAGGGCCCACCCGCTGCACACCCTCCCTCCACCGGCTCCCCACTGCACAGCCCTTCTCGATCCTGCTCCTGCTACAGCCACAGCAAGTGAGGCTCTGAGATGCTTCACTCATGTCCCTCCTTCCAACATGGCTCCCAAACCCTTCTCTCCACACCCCTCCCCCGCCACCCCGTACATTCCCCTGGCATGCTGCTCCCCAACAGGAGACCCAGTTAGTGCTTCAGGTCAGACTTTAAACTCAGGGAAGCTGGTCATTTTTTGGTATTTTTTTTTATCTTTTTGCTTTTGGGGACACACCCAGTGATGCTCAGGGGTTACTCTTGGCTCTGCACTCAAGAATTACTCCTGGTGGGGCTCAGGGGACCACATGGGATGCTGGGGATCAAACCCATGTTGGCCACAAGCCAGGCAAGCACCCAAGCCGTGGAACTATAATTCTGGCCCCGAGCCGGTCATTTCACTGGTTCCTCAGGAGAGATAGAACAGCAGGTTAGGTGTTTGTGCCTTGTATGCAGCTGACCTGAATTTCATCTCTGGCACCCCATATGGAACCCCAAGCCCCGCCAAGGATGATCTCTGAGCACAGAGCCATGAGTAAGCCCCGAGCACCAACAGGTATGGCCCAAAAACTGAACAAAGGACCCTCAGTGATCACAAAGAGATGGAGAATGGGGTTCCAGGAAAGACACAGGCACTTGTCCCTATTGCCTTTCCCTTTAGCTTTCTTAGAGACTTTTCTGCTAAATAGCTGACTTGAACTAAGTGCCTGACTGAAACAGGCCTAGGACAGGAAGGTCACGGAGAGCCCCTAAGGAAACTGATGGCACTGACATTCTGGGACACTGTTTGCTGTCCTCTTCCAGGTGGCCCAGGACACCTATGGGGTTTACTGAGGGGTCTGTGGATTCCCAGTGAAATGGCTCCTCCTGCTCCTCCATCCTGTAGCATCCACTTAATTCAGGCCATGCTGAAACTTCCCGCTTAAAACAATGCTCAAGCCTGACAATACATGCCAATGCAACCCTCCCCTGCCACCCCTCTGGCTGCCAGCCACTGCCACAAGGCTAATAGCAGCTGGTCAGACTTCGATTCCAAGGCCAGACTGACTCCTCCAAAGCCAAAATCAGGTCTGGATCAAGACTTGGCCATGTGTGTAGATCCTTAAAAGCAAAGACATTATGAAGCTTGACACTGAGAAATCTACTTTATTTGCTTCGCTAAAAGTTTTGAAGTATCCTGAACCCCAAAAGGGGGACTATTTCCTTCCTTCGGGGGTCCTCCCTTGACCTCCATACCAAGTCTGTGCTATGAATTCCCATAGTACCTTTCTCTGGAGTCCAAGTGGCCTGGGGAAACTGTGCCCACTCTGCCTGCTCAGTGGACACATTTCTGGACCTGCTACCCAGATTTGTGGAAAAAGCTAGTTTGGGGGAAGGGTTTGGGTGTAAATAGGAGAAGGGTGCAGGATGAGATTGATGGCAATAAACATAGGTAGAACTAAATTTCTGTCTCCCGTTCTCTTTTCTATGAAGAGAGGGTGGGGGCGGGAGATCGGCTCCTCTAAACTGGACTCAAACACATGCCTCTTGTCCTCTCAGGTCTCATCTGTCCCTTTTCCAGGGATACTCAGTTCCCCCAATCCATCTGATCTAGAACTCCAATTTGAGTTTTTTGGGGGTGGGGGCCTGATACCAAAACCAGTGGTGTTCAGGGCTTACTTCTGGCTCTGTATTCAGGGGTCACTCCTGATGGTGCTCAGGGGAGTCATATGGAGATCCAGGGATCCAACTGGTACTGGCCACATGCAAGAGAAGTGCCTTATCCACTGCACTGTATCTCCAGTCTGGCTTTTTTTGGTTTATAATTTTGTTTTTGTGCCATACTGGACAGTGCTTAGAAGCTACTCCCAGTCCAGTGTTTGGCAGAGATTGATCATCCTAGTGGTGCCATGCAAACCAGGTATTCCAGCCCTTTGATCTCCTCAGCCATAGGGCTGCAGTTTGAAGCCAGAACTGACTCAATCCTTGCCACTAACCAGCTTTCTTCAGAACTCATGGCCACAGACTGGCCTTGTTGGGGTTTGAAAGCAGAGACAGCAATTTCCCTCTTCCTAGAAATGTAACAGGAGCCTTAAAGGCCTCTGCCCCATTAAGGAAGGGATGTACCTGGGCAGCACCGTGCCCAAGGTGGAGACACATCTAAACGTTTCATTAGGTATGAAGAGCATGCGTCTGGAATTCAAAAAACAAAGCCAGCTGTCAAGCTCATCTATTTCTTGGATAGATTGCTCAGAATGAATAAACAACGAGATTGAAGTAAAGGGGAATTCAGTTTATTTACTTTTACTTCTGGGTCACACCTTACAGTACTCAAGGCTTACTCCTGGCTCTGCACTCACATATCGCTCCTGAGAAGGCTTGATAGAGTATATATGGTTCCAGGGCTCAAACCTGAGTTACCCACATGCAAAGCAAGCACCTACCCACTGTACTATTTCTCCATCCCTACCTAACTTTCTTAACTATGATTGTAAGTAGTATATTTAGGAAGCTGTTCATGGCCTGCCTACTACTCATCCTTTTCTCTGCTTCCTGTGAGTCATTACTATATATGTGTGTGTGGTGTGTGTGTGTATATATATATATGTATATATATACACAGATATATATATGTCATATATATATATATATATGTCAACAGGGCCTTCCCTCTGAGGTTACCTCTTCTTGGGCCCACTAAAGCCATACTATCTCCTTTTTAGGGCCCAAGATAGCAGCGGGGGATGATGGAGAAGGCTCCTGGATTGGGTGCAGACATTCATAGCATCAGGGAGGGCAATCTTGAGACTGCCAGCAGACGGAAGTCAAGGCCATGTCACTTCCACACTTTGTTCTCAGTAGCTCATCCCACAGCCTTTGATTATTGCTATAAAGAAACTGGGAGGCATCCAAAAAACTTTCAAATGCTCATGGTACTGAATAATCTGCTGTAGAGTGAGCACTGGCAGAGGGACTAGGCACCAAGCTCTCAACATGTACTGTTGACCACTGTACAATGCAGAGGTTGGGAACACTCCTTAGTGTAGTTAAAAAAAAAAACAAGACAATTGTGTATATCCTGCTTGGTGGTGTGATTACAAAGTTACCACTTGAACATGCCTTGCATGGTTGAGGTTCTTAATTTGTACCCTACCCCAACACTGCTGCCACTGTGGTGGCCCCCATAATTATGCCAACTAAAAAAATCCATGTATAACTATAGTCCCCTTTAACTTTATTTGTTCTTTGGCATCTGCAGGATACTGTTTTCAGCCTAATAGTAGGCCCTCCAAATTTGTGAGTTTCCATACTTGCTATGTCAATCAACATCCAAGGTTGGTTGAATCTTTGATAGTGGAAATCATGGCTGGAAATGAACTGGAGGGAGGAAGGCAGGGAGATGAACTATGTTTATTTGTTATTTGTTTTTGGGTGTGATCCAAAAAAGCAAAAAAGCACAGGGGTTACAGCACTTGCCTTTCATCCTGCCACCCCCAATTCAAATGCCTGGTACTGTATATCATCCCCTAAGCACCACCAGAGGTCACTCCTGAGGAGAGCCAGGAATAGTCATTGAGCTTCACTGGGTATGGCCAAACAAGAAAAAAAATTCGGGTACGGGCAGATCCATGCAGTCACACCCTTTGGTTCAAGGGTCAATTGTTTTCCTCATCTAAGTCTCACTGCATCTTCCCAAGATGAGTACCATCATCTTCCCCAGGCATAGAGGAGGAAACCTAGGCTCAGAAGGTTGAAGGTAAGTTGAGTGGAAAATCCAGTAAGCTTTTGGGGCTGGAGCAATAGCACAGCGGGTAGACCATTTGCCTTACACGCAGCCAACCTGGGTTCAATTCCCAGCATCCCATATGGTCCCCTGAGCACCTCCAGGAGTGATTCCTGAGTGCATAGCCAGGAGTAACCCCTGAGCATCACTGGGTGTGACCCAAAAAAAGAAAAAAAACTAGTAAGCTCTCAAGGCCCCTAGGTGCCAAAGGACACCCTGACCCTGTATTATGTCCACTACCTCTGAGCCAGTTATCCCGCCCCCAGGACTCCAGTAACAGAAAGAGCCCCTCAGCTGCACACCAACATCTGGGCACACAGACAGATGAGCACTTGGTTTGTAAAACACTCAGGAATTAAATACCTTCTGGTTTGTTCACAGTATCATGCAGACATCAAGCATGACTTAGAAAAAATAGCTAACAACACATGGAAAATCTTCATGTTATTTTATTCTTTAAAATTTACAAGGTATACACCTAGTGTATAAATGTTCTTGTAAAAAAACTCCATTCTTGGGGCCAGAGTGATAGTACAGAGGGTAAGGCACTTGCCTTGCATGAAGACGATCAATCCCCAACATCCCATATGGTACCCTGAGCCTGCCAAGAGTGATTCCTGAGTACAGAGCCAGGAGTAACTCCTGAGCATCTCTGGATACGGCCCCCAAGCCAAAAACAACAAAAAAGAACTTATGCTCTATTAGGGAGAAAAAGTGAGTGCTGAAACATTATTTATAGGGTGAGCCCATTTAATTTTTTATTTCTGAAAACATACACACAAATATGGGGACGATATGTATACACAGTGGTTACCAGGGTAGAAGAAGGCAAGTGAGAGAACAATTCACATTGTACATCCTTGTTTTCTTTGAAATTCAAAGTGTTATTGTTCTACCTATTTGAAAAGAAACAATACAATTTATGAAAATATGAAAGGAAATGAAAGCACAAATAGGCCTGAAGCCCTAGTCTCCATAATTACTTTGTAGGAGCAAAGTAATTATCTTGTTGCCTTTCGGCTTCTGGAAAGATGGGATGTGGGGTGAGTAAGATGCAAAGTGCTTGTAAACCACGACCACCCCCACAACCATCATCAAAAAGATGATTCAGGAAAAAATGTTTTGTAATTCTCCCTTTTCCCTAGGGAAGCAGATATGGGATGTCTCTAGGTTATGAGGCCCCAGTTGGGCTTATAGGCTGGTTGTAGGCCAGAGTAGGTTGCT